CCAAAAAGTCTGCATATATGACCATCAGGTCTTAAAGGCTGTCACCAAGAAGGACTGTAGAAAAGTAATCACATTTAAGCAATTTTTTGATAAAAATACTAAAGCATGAGACGTAATACAAAAAGAAAAAGCTTACACTTTAGGTTACAATAAACATTGACGATAGTACATAAACACTTAAACTAAACACTGAAATAACACCACCTTATCCCATACTCACATACGTGTCTGAGGGACGAACAACACACACATGGTAGAGCAGATATATTTTCTCCCTCTCAATACTCAGCCTTCTTTGGCTCTAGGGGAATGAAGTCCCAATAATATATCACAGGGGTTTGTTTCTACATGCTGCCACGACCAAGCCTCGCCTCTTACCTGACTAGCAACAAAATTTCAATAAAGAGGAGTGATGGCATAACGAGTAAGCTTTATCTACACTGAGGTATGGGAAACATATTGATTCTTACAGTTAACAGCGAACGAGAATATATTACAATTAACACTGATAATGTACTATAAGCTACACATTAACGAAATTAATTCATGTCCATGAATAACCTCGAGTACAAATAATTTATATAAAGGGTGTTTTCCCCAGTGATAGAACAACACGCCAGGGGACAAACATATATCAAGTTGTGCCACGTAGCAAGATAGCAGTTGTTTTATGTTTTAAGTACGGAATCATTAAAAGCTTCACAAATATAAGGTGAGAGAGAGAGAGAGAGAGATTACCAAACACAAGAACAAAATTAATTAGAAAAAAAAAGTTTTCTGTGTACTTATATCGAGTGCATAGCGGGAGGCAGTGGAGGAAATTATTGACGCATCAGCTTTACACAAGTTATCCAGTGTTGACACAGTGAGCTTGCAGTGAAGGCCCGACGATTAACAGCCGCTGATAATGAGAACACCCTCGTTTACAGTTACCTAACCCAGTCAGGCATTAAAGATCATATATGTCCACAGTTCGCATATTTACACATTTCCTTTCTTTCTGCTGCTTTAGGAACTCAACAAGGTGAGTTTTTTTGACGCCAACATAATATTACCTTGACCATTGCAATTACATTTAAGTCTTAGAGCATTCGGGTCAGCTAGATCAAACAGGTTTGTCAGTATTCTGGTTCCTTGGTGGCCACTCACCTTGACTGGAGTTTGCAGACGAACGGGATTGGGCATCGGTGGTGTAGTAGTCCCGGCCAGTTGTGATACTGATGGTGGTGTGAACAGACGTTTTCCGCTAGTGTTGTGATGTCTACTTTATTCAAGGTAGCTTCTTGCCACACATAAAAGTAATTCGTGATTGTTAGTTAACGTGATATACTAATCGAGTTTTGTGGAAGGTGTTGTGTTTGTGTCAACAATAGACTCCGATGATGGGACTAAAGTTAAAGTTTCGGTTGATTTTACTGTTAGGATGTATGCCCTATCTTTTTTGTGTCTTTGGTGAGTATTAGAATACGGTCCTGTTACATAATATGATACAAGTATACATAGATAGATACATAATACATAGACGAGAAAAGAATACTCTGTTCATATTCACAGTATCATACAAATCTGAGGACTTCTCCTTTGTTCGCCGTAACCCACGTCTTCACTCAACCACCCACCTAGCTAAGGGAATCAATAACACCTCAGAACACCATGAGAGAAAAAATCTTTTGAAGGAAGCTGCAGCAGCGTGGACAGGGGCGCTTGAGTGTCCTTTACCTGAGTATAATGACAATTTTGTCAAACTTCCGGAATTCTTTAGGTGTGTATATATTATTTGTGAAAAATGAAGGGACAGGTATAATAAATAAGGTATTTCTGTGTTTTATTGAACAATTTTGTTGTAATTTATATTATTATTATAGCGTGTTCTTCTACTACTATTACTAATACTACTACTACCATTACTAATACTACTTGACGCTATTAGATGTTTCTGGCGTCATGCTACCGATGATTATATCCTGCTGTAACGTAGAAATAGTACTTCAGCTGTTACGATATCTGTTCGCTCTACTACTTTAAAGAAAAATATAATAGTATCACATTAGTCTTCCACTTCAAGGATAATTTATTGGTCTCAGAACGTAAAGAATGATTCTTGTCCAACTAATATGCAAATTTCTACTTTGTGAATAATTAATCTTGTCTTTTCCAATGATGCAATTATTCCTATTTAGCGTGATATGTGTAAATGATGATATTCTCTAATTATTTATATAAAAATATATACGGTATTTGTCTCATCCCATGGTTTAGCGAGAAGCTGATGTGGGAAGTCGCCTCCAACATCTTCCTCGTGGAGAGTTCATGTAACCCTCAGCCATCTTACCGTGCTTGGTGTGCCGTGGAGAGGTGGGTACTATTATAGCAAGTGTCTGTTTGTCTATAGGCGGTGCTGGCATGCTGGTAGCAGTTTCTAAGTCTAATATGTCTAATATTGCTCCCGAATTTCCTATTATTTCACCATAAGAAAGATAGGGGGACGACTATGTTTAACCCCTTTACTACATGGACGCTACTTTTAATATTTTATTTAGCTGCCGCTAGACGATTTTATTCACTTCAGAGGGGAACTCGTGCTGGTGCACTGAAGTCCAGCGTCATTAAGAATTATTGTTTTGAAGTCAAGCGGAAATGCCTAGCTGTTATGATTGATCCTGCGTGAACCATTCATGTGTTTTTGATGAAAGAAAATTAGTGTACAAATCTAGTAATTTCTTATTAAAACGGTAACGGTAGCAAAATCAGAAGTGATGTTTAACTTTAAATAATCGTTGTACTTAACATTATACATTATGTTCCAATGAATTCAACCGTAATCATTTCTATATTACCTGTACACTTATCTGGGCCTATACCTGCATCTATTGATGAAATTGTTTCCCTATTTATGTTTGCACCTGCACCTCTTTTGCTGTACCCAATATGATAAAACGAAAAAGAGAATGTATGGCCAACTATTTCTCCCTATTCCCCATCTCTCCTCAATACCTCCACGTCAGCTTGTCGCGGCAGAACCCGGATGCGCACATTTGGTATGTGATAACGTCTCCCATGATTAGCGACGGGGACGGGTTGGTTAGCAGACTTAGGCGACGATACAGAAATTTGCAGCTTGTCACCATCGACCAGCAACAACTTTTCAGCAACACCCCTCTCATGGACGTATACACCGCGGGTCTGTGGCTAACCAACAGCAGTAAGTTGAGGCATTGCGTTCATCTTAATTTTGTATTAGTGAGTTTGTTACGCTAAGGGACCAGCTAGATAGCCATGTGAACAAGTTTGTATGTACACTCTCAACAAAAACTTCTCGAACACCTGGGCACGATGGATGTGAAAATGAGCAGAATGGGGCTTTTCATCCCGGAATGGTTTCATATTCGTCGTTCATATTTCAGATTGCATAGTGCTAATACCTTTCGAGAAGTTTTTGGTGAGAGTATACGTTAGTATTTAAATAAGTGGCGAGATTAAAGTGTGATGGCAAGGAGTTGTGGATAATTGTGTCCTCAGGTTATATTGTAAATAACTACTGTATATACTTATAAAGTAAGGTCACTTCTATATAGCATTTTATGGATTAATTATGGTAACTTATAACACAGTTTTAAAAACAAACGTCTGTGAACAGAGTATCCCTAAATATTGCGTCTTATTATACTGTATAGGAAAAAAAAAAAAAAAAAAAAAAAAAAAATATATATATATATATATATATATATATATATATATATATATATATATATATATATATATATATATATATATATATATATATATATATATATATATATATATATATATATATATATATATATATATATATATATATATATATATATATATATATATATATATATATATATACATGCTCATAACCACAAGGAAACAAGAAAACAAGAAGTTCCCAAGCGCTTTCGTGTAATTCACTTCTTCAGGGGTGATTACAGACTAAGGAGTAATACATGACAAGGTTAATATATACAATCTCCAGTCTCCAGTCTCATTAAACATACCGAATCTGTCAACATGAATTTAAGTAATGGTATGTACAAACTGGATAATTTTATGATTAAGAAGATTTGGTTCCAGGTGAGAGGGTTAGGTCATCTTACCCTATGACTTGACTACGGACAGCTACTGTGCTTAGAGATGGCATGGTAAATTTTTTGGATTAAGAAGATTAGTAAGGGTCACTTCCTTATGACCGGAACATTGTGGACACCTGCTGTCCCCTAGGGATTTGATCTCACTCTCCTCTACTGTATATATTAGCCATGATAAGTATTTCTCCTTAGTCTGTACTCAACCCTGAAGATGTGAATTACACGAAAGCGCTTGGGAACTTCGTGTCTTCTTCTTTCCTTGTGGTTATCAGCATATACCTGGATCACGCGCACCCACAGTGATTTACTTGCATATATATATATGCAGGTGCGCGTGATCCAAGTATATGCTGATAACCACATGGAAACAAGAAAACACGAAGTTCCCAAGCGCTTTCGTGTAATTAGAACATAAGAACATAAGAAAATAAGGAGGATCTAAATAAACTGCAGGGGTGGTCTGAAAAATGGCAAATGAAATTCAACACCAGCAAGTGCAGCGTACTTAATATTGGAAGAACAAATATTGTCAATGTATACAGCCTTAACAACATCAACCTAGAGAAGTCGACTTGTGAAAGAGACCTAGGGGTATTTGTAAGCCTGGACCTACGGCCTAGAAAACAGTGCGTTAATGTTCGAAATAAGGCTAACAGAGTATTGGGTTTTATATCTAGAAGTGTAAGTAATAAGAGTGCACAGGTCTTATTGCAACTATATCTTGCGCTAGTCAGGCCGCACCTCGATTATGCGGTTCAATTCTGGTGCCCTTATTATAGAATGGATATCAATTCACTAGAGTCGGTGCAGCGAAGAATGACGAAAATGATTCAGGGACTTAGAAACCTTCTATATCAGGATAGGTTAAAGAAACTAAACTTGCATTCCCTAGAAAGACGAAGAGTGCGGGGAGATATGATAGAGTATTTAAGTGGGTGAAAGGAATCAATAAAGGGGATATAGATAAAGTTCTTATAATATCCGAGCAGGATAGGACTCGAAGCAACGGATTTAAGGATAAGTTTAGGTTTAGGAGGGAGATAGGAAGGAACTGGTTTACAAATAGGGTGGTGGACGAGTGGAACAAGTTTAGCAACTTTGTAGTAAATGCTGGAATGCTGCAAAGTTTTAAAAGGAGACTGGATAGATTCATGGATGATAGAGAGTGGTAGTAACTCTCGACAGGAGCTGCCATGCACAGGCCAACCGGCCTATTGCAGACTCCTTATTTTCTTACGTTCTTATGTTCTTATATATACACGATTAGATGTTTCAGGTTTTAGAATCCTTCATTTTGTTTTGTATTAGATAAACGACCAGAGCCGGACCTCACCAGGGGACAACTGTATAAGATTAATCAGTGGAGATATGGTAATACTTGAACAAGGCATATAGGTATATAAGTAGTTAATTAGTAACATTAAGTTGTTCCTAAATTATCAGGAGATTATCTTTTATTGGAGAGCAGTTTTAATATTTAAGATTGATAGATGAAGGTATTATAGTGACTATTTTTCCTTTATTTTTGAGCCTGGCCAGCAGTCAATCTTAGTGACCTGCTTCGCCTGGCGCTGGTGTGGCATACAGGAGGCTTCTACGCCGACTCGGACTTCATATGCCTAGCCAATGTCACCACTTTCAAGAACGTAATTGGTGTCGAGTCCGTCTTCTACAACCCCCTGGTGCACATCGCCTTACCAAACTCTAATGGTTATGACAGCTTGGCTGCCAACGGGGCCTTCCATCTCACCCGACATCACCCCCTTCTCCACAAGCTGATGACCTTCCTCTCCAAGAATTTTGAAGTGAGGATTATATATATATATATATATATATATATATATATATATATACTGTACTATATACACACTCATAAACCACTGTAAAAAGAAAAATATAAAATTGCTTTAGCGCTTTCGTGTATTTAGCACATCTTCAGAAACAAATTTCACGCAAACACAAAGTGATTTTGATTGGCGTACATTTATTGGTTATAGGGATCAGCAGTGACATAAGCAAGTTTGCGGATGACACCAAAATAGGGCGGCAAATTAATTCAGGACAGGATGCAAATGCATTACAGGAGGATCTAAATAAACTGCAGGGGTGGTCTGAAAAATGTCAAATGAAATTCAACACCAGCAAGTGCAGCGTACTTAATATTGGAAGAACAAATACGTATAATGTATACAGCCTTAACAACATCAACCTAGAGAAGTCGACTTGTGAAAGAGACCAAGGGGTACTTGTAAGCCCGGACCTATGGCCTAGAAAACAGTGCGTTAATGTTCGAAATAAGGCAAACAGAGTATTGGGTTTTATATCTAGAAGTGTAAGTAACAAGAGTGCAGAAGCCTTATTGCAACTATATCTTGCGCTAGTCAGGCCGCACCTCGACTATGCGGTTCAGTTTTGGTGCCCTTATTATAGAATGGATATAAATTCACTAGAGTCGGTGCAGCGAAGAATGAGAAAAATGATTCCGGGACTTAGAAACCTTCCATATCAGGATAGGTTAAAGAAACTTAACTTGCATTCCCTAGAAAGACGAAGAGTGCGGGAAGATATGATAGAAGTATTTAAGTGGGTGAGAGGAATCAATAAAGGGGATATAGATAAAGTTCTTATAATATCCGAGCAGGATAGGACTCGGAGCAACGGATTCAAGTTGAATAAGTTTAGGTTTAAGAGGGAGATAGGAAGAAACTGGTTCACAAATAGGGTGGTGGACGAGTGGAACAAGCTTAGCAACTTTGTAGTAAGTGCGGGAACTCTGAAAAGTTTCAAAAGGAGGCTAGATAGATTCATGGATGATAGAGAGTGGTAGTAACTCTCGACAGGAGCTGCCATGCACAGGCCAACCGGCCTATTGCAGACTCCTTATTTTCTTATGTTCTTATATCAGGTCAGGTCAAGTTAGGTAAGGTCCGGTCCAGTAGTGAACATGGCGGTCCAAACCACCACATAACACTTCCGGTAAACAGTCGGGGCGTAACTACTGACCAACTGTTGGATATCAATTCACTAGAGTCGGGGCAGCGAAGAATGACGAAAATGATTCCGGGACTTGGAAACCTTCCATATCAGGATAGGTTAAAGAAACTAAACTTGCATTCCCTAGAAAGACGAAGAGTGCGGGGAGTTATGATAGAAGTATTTAAGTGGGTGAAAGGAATCAATAAAGGGGATATAGATAAAGTTCTTATAATATCCGAGTAGGATACGACTCGAAGCAACGGATTTAAGTTGCATAAGTTTAGGTTTAGGAGAGAGATAGGAAGGAACTGGCTCACAAATAGGGTGGTGGACGAGTGGAACAAGCTTAGCAATTTTGTAGTAAGTGCCGGAACGATGGAAAGTTTTAAAAGGAGGCTAGAAAGATTCATGGATGATAGAGAGTGGTAGTAACTCTCGACAGGAGCTGTCATGCGCAGGCCAACTGGCCTATTGCAGACCCCTTATTTTCTCATGTTCTTCTTATGTTCTTGCCGAAAATTCCAGCCTGTCTCCCATAGCCCGACGTGTGGGGCAGGAACGGACCCCAGGCCATGACGAAGGTGCTGAAGACGAGATGCGGGTACCATTTACGCGTGGGTGAAGAGTGTGTTGGGGTGACACTACTTCCAACCTCTGTATTTTACCCAGTCGCTTTCTCTGACTGGAAGAGGCTCTTCCAGCCAGCGCCTTACCTCCACGTCTCTAAGGTGCGTTTGGCTAAAGTGGAGTAATAATCTTCAATTATATATTAATTCTTCTTTGACGATGGTAGTTACTTCAAAGGATAAGTCGTAAGTTGATATGCAGATTTTCTCTGATCCAAATCATCATTGCAAAGGGGAATCATTATAGTCATAAGCATTCATTTATGACATTGTCAAAACTATATATATATGCAAGTAAATCACTGTGGGTGCGCGTGATCCAGGTATATACTGATAACCACAAGGAAAGAAGAAGACACGAAGTTCCCAAGCGCTTTCGTGTAATTCACATCTTCAAGGGTGAGTACAGACTAAGGAGAAGTACAAAACAAGGTATATATATATATATATATATATATATATATATATATATATATATATATATATATATATATATTTATATTTATATTTATATTTATATATATACAGAGGAGGGTGAGATCAAGTCCACAATGGTCAGGTATTAGGTAATGACCCTACTAATCTTGAAAAAGCGCTGCAGCAGTCGGTAGTCAGGTCAGAAGGTAAGCTGACCCAACCTTCTCATCTGGTTACAAATCTTCTTAATTACGAAATTATCCAGTTTGTACATGCCATCACTCAAATTCATGTTGACGGATTCGGTATGTTTAATGAGACTAGATTCTATAATGTTCCTACTGTCAATTGAATTACAAGGTAATATTGAGGAGGCATTATCCCAGTCAATGCAATGCTTATTATCCCTCAAATGAACAAACATATGTTTTGATGTCTTTAACAAATACAATTTACAGTGAGGCACTCTAGCCAACTCACTTAATCTAGTCATGTAGACATTATAAAGGTCGTCCTTAATCTGTTATTTGCATATGTAAGAACAAAATATAAAAGATGGAGTGGTAATGTAGCAATTCAGAACGCATCAAGAAGGTTCTATTTCTTGTTACTGATGTACTGTGCAGTACATAGAGATAAAGTCATAACGATGATGCCTTAACCTCTTTAAGTTTATTGTGCTTCACTTTATCAACAGTTTTTTTCTTCATAATCAACAAAGCAGATGTACAATTTTATTTTGAGATCGGAAGTCCTTTCACTCATAATTCTTAAACCATTTATAGTTTCTGTAATTCCATTTCCTTTCTAAATCCACTTTGCTCTCAGATAACTCACTTTCTATATTAAACTTTATTCTACTTAAAATCATGTTTAATAAAACTTTGCAGGCGTGGCGTATTAAGATTATTGTTCTAAACTGGGTGCATTCTAGGGCACCTGGCTTTTAGGTAATAACACAAATATTGATTATTTTTTTAATTTAATGGAAAAATTGCTTTAAAGTATACAGAATTGCATATTTGTTTCAACATTTTATTCTATTCTTGCCTACTTATTTAATAAATTCTGCTGGAAGCTGATCAACCCCATAAGCTTTATCATTTTCATTTTGCTCACAGCTGCCTCAACTTCTGATTCCAAAATTGTCATTTCGATCTTTATATTCTTTTCGTTTCTTACCTCTACTCTATCCTTATCATTATATAGTAACTGTACATACTCTGTCCATATCTCTTTTACTTTTTCTGCTTCAAACAGGATCATATTGCCTTTGCTATTAATATTTTCACGCCATATATTTCCCTTTTTCAGATTAATTTTTTTTTAATCTTTCTGTACATTTTCCTATAATTATGTCTTTTTCATTATCTTCAGTCTCCTTGCATTTCCTTTCTACATCATCATTCTAGCATGTCTGCATTCCTTTGAATTTATATGTTAATTTTTACGTAAGCTTCACTTCGCTTTCTCATATTTCATCGTCTATCTATTTTCTTAAAAATTTAATATTCTATCCCTGTCCCTCTTTTGAGCATACCTAAATCCCATTTGATTTTGTCCATAGTTTTTATTATAATTTTCGAAGTTCTAGACTCACGAAACTTATTACCGGGACGTGATGTGAACCCACAATCTGCCCCTGGATAACTCTTGGTTCGGGTTATTAAATTTCGTATTCTTTCCTGAATTAAAATGTAATCTATTTGATTCCTGAATATGTTGCTTACACTGGACCAGAAAGAATGATGTATTAATCTAGACATGACAAAAATGAACCTGAGATATGTTCGTATCATTCCAGATGTTCCCTCAATCCGCTCTTCTCCATGCCTGGAACAAAGTCAGTCACCAGAAGCCAATCACGCCAGGCAGCTTCTACGACGCCATTGCCGCTACCTACTGCCCCGTCACACATCGCCTCGCCACTAAACTCTCTCAGTTCTACTAATAGGTGTACTGACTAGTGTGGGTGGACAATTCGTCACCGGTCTATTGAATACCGTGTTATATTTTTCAAATTTAGATATAAATTTAATTATTTTGGATTTTGGAAGCGGTGAAGCCAAGGTTAGGTTAGTTTAGGTTTATTTTAAAAAGGTAACGAATTTGTCTGGTGACGAATCGTCCTTGAACCACTGACCAGGTGTACTAGACATTTGTACTGACCAGAGGTGCTAACTACGTATATTGGACAGTTGTTGTGTTATCCAAGTTCTATTACAAAAAAAAAAAAGGTTTGTAGCATAGCGTCACCTCCCGCTCACTCATAACCATTCCACCCAAACAATTATTTGTCTCCCAAGCTGCCCAAACCTTCCACATGCTTGTAATGGCCGTCCAGGCGGTAGGAGGTTAGTGAATTAAAAGTGTATGGGTAAACTTTATCTTTCTGTCAAGTGTGAATACATGTACTCGTATATGTAGATTTTCGTCGTCGATGCATCACCAATTATCTCGCGGTTTTATTTCGCGTCCCTAATGAATCTAGAGGTGGTTCCCTGTTACGAGTCATAGTCAAGGTGCGACTGGCCATAAATTTTTTATGGTCTAAATATTTAGACCAGGCATGTTCCGTCATTTAGCCGGTGTAGCAGGCCAGTTTACACCCTCGCTAGTTTAAATCCGGGAACATTCTGGACCAGGCCATTCTAAACCCAGGTATATACTGGCCAAGGCCAGAATATACCCAGGGGTTTATCTGGCCGAGGCTGCTTTATACCACTCCAGGCCAGAATACACCACTATGGTAAATCAACGTTGCTGACTTAGGAATGTGTTATTATGTTATTTCTGGTTAGGTTAGGTTAGATAATGGCCCAAAATTACTATGTATGATATGATATATCACGATATGATATAATTAATATGTTATATAATAAATGACTAACCTAGTATTTCCTATCAGACTCTTGATCCTGCTATCCAAGTATTGTAATAACATACAGTGAGGATGAAGGACATTGGGTATTCTTATTCTGTCAAACAGCACAGATTCAAACAAGTTAAAATGCTTAAATTGATGACCACAGACAATTAAATATATAAAATTTTCATCGTTGATGGTTGTAATATTACTAAATTTCTTTGAAATAAACTTTCAATAACTAATACTGTAGGGGGTTAATCTGGCTTTACGGGATGTAAAACAGCTTAGGGGTATAATTTGGCCCGTTACACCGGGACTCGAGACCTGCCTTGCCAGGAGCTATTCTCCCTGCTCTGTGAGGTTATTTTGTGTTAACTTAGGTTTAGGTGCAGTTTGTCATATAATGAACTGAGAAGTGTTCTTGTAACATATATAACATGAAGGAGACTTTTGGTTTATATTTTAGTATAAGAATCAGTTCCATAGAATTATTCTGGCTCGACAGGACATTTTAGTCTGGTGATCTGTGTATCGAAGACGTGTGTGGCGGTGAGCTGTGTATGGCGGTGAGCTGTGTGGTGGTGAGCTGTGTGTAGTGGTGAGCTGTATGTGGTGATAAGCTGTGCCTGAATTATGTAATTATGTACATGAGGCACTAGGAATCTATAGTTAAGTTTGAAATTGCCCCGTACATGTTATGTTTTGATTTGAAATATTTTGTTGGACAAATGTATTTTGAAGTCTATTGTATACTGTATATTCACTGTGCATTTATACTTTTGTCAAAAACTACTACTACTAGTGGTGAGCTGTGTGTGGTGGTGAACTGTGTATGGTGGTGAGCTGTGTGTGGTGGTGAGCTGTGTGTGGTGGTGAACTGTGTATGGTGGTGAGCTGTGTGTGGTGGTGAGCTGTGTGTGGTGGTGAACTGTGTATGGTGGTGAGCTGTGTGTGGTGGTGAGCTGTGTGTGGTGAACTGTATGTGTGGTGTGTGTGTGGTGGTGTGTGGTGGTGTGTGTGGTGGTGAGCTGTGTGTGTGGTGTGTGGTGAGTGTGTGAGCTGTGTGTGGTGGTGAGCTGTGTGTGGTGGTGAGCTGTGTGTGGTGGTGAGCTGTGTGGTGGTGAACTGTGTGGTGGTGAGCTGTGTGTGTGTGTGTGTGGGAACTGGTGTGAGCTGTGTGTGGTGGTGAGCTGTGTGTGGTGGTGAGCTGTGTGTGGTGGTGAGCTGTGTGTAGTGGTGAGCTGTGTGTGGTGGTGAGCTGTGTGTGTGGTGGTGAGCTGTGGTGTGAGCTGTGTGGTGGTGAGCTGTGTGGTGGTGAGCTGTGTGTGGTGGTGTGGTGAGCTGTGTGTAGGTGAGGTTGTGGTGAGCTGCGTGTGGTGGTGAGCTGTGTGAGGTGGTGGGCTGTGTGAGGTGGTAGGCTGTGTGTGGTGGTGAACTGTGTATGGTGGTGAGCTGTGTGTGGTGGTGAGCTGTGTGTGGTGGTGAGCTGTGTGATTTAGTAAGTTGTGGGTGGTGGTAAGCTGTGTGTGGTGATGAGCTGTGTGTGGTGATGAGCTGTGTGTGGTGGTGAGCTGTGTGTGGTGATCAGCTGTGTGTGGTGGTGAGCTGTGTGGGGCGGTGAGATGTGTGTCGGAGAAGTGTGTGGAGGTGGACTGTGTTACAGTCAAAGTAAATCTAATAATATAGGGCAAATCGGTGCCTACACGGTCAACATTATTGATTCAATATTTTGAATCATTATTATTGGGCAATATGTACACCCTCTACATGGCTCAATATTATTGTGCAAAATTACGTTAGTGCGACACCCACACTCAAAGAGGCAACATGACAGACACAGATGTGGCATGTATAGCCGTTGTATTAGCGTTTTGTGTTCAGAAATTAAATAAATAAAAAGCGTCGGTGGATTAAACAATGGTACATGAAAAGATATCAATGGACCCACGAAAATATTTTTCGGGATATAAGAGTCAGTGAGCCAAAAGATTACAGAAACTCCTTGCGCATGGATAGTGAAGCATTTGATGAGATACTAAAGATGGTAACATCATTAATTAAAAGAAAGAACACTGATACGAGAGTGTATCGCAACAAGTCAGCGGTTATCAGAAACATTGGTGTCTGACGAAAACTCAGCCGAATGGCAGGTTGTGAGGAGAGGGACGACCAAACTGGTGGTGAAAAAACACCCCAAGGTGGTGAAAAAACCCACCAAGGATACGACAACAACAGCTAAGAGTACCAACCCTTTCAGTCCTTTGATAGACAAATTGGACGTTAGCATAGTCAGGGGCAAGGCTGACAAGGAAGGTACGAAAACTTTAATTGTTGGCGATTCCCAGGTACGGTACCTGGACAGAGCTTTTTGTGGTAAAAGTAAAAATACGACGAGGGTGTGCTTGCCAGAAGCTGGGGTGGGGAATATAGTTGAAAGGACGGACAATATCTTGTCTGGCAATGGGAACAAATCCATTATCTGCCTTAGTGCAGGAGGTAATGATATTGGCGGGTGTAGGAGTGTGGAGCTTATTGACAAGTTCAAGACAGCTATAGAACGTATTAGGTCGAAGGGAGGGATCCCTATCATATGTGGTGTCCTGCCTAGAAGGAGAGTTGGCAATGAATGGTTGTCAAGGGCATTTGGTGTCAACGGCCGTCTTGACAGATATTGCAAGTCAATATCAGTCCCATTCTTTGACAACTGGGACAACTTCTATGGCAGAAGGGACCTTTGTGCTAGGGATGGGGTGAATCTGTCAAGGGATGGGGTGGCAATCCTGGCTGGCTTTGTCGAGAGGGCATTTCAAAAGATGTCGAAGTCTTTAAACTGCTAGGAGAACATATGAACACGGGGGTGGAGAAGAGTGCAGAGGGAGCGGGTAAACAAAGTGAAAGGTTACAGGGAAATAGAGCTAGGAATTATGACAAAACGAAATTCGGATGGGAGTTAAGCCTAAACGCGATAAAGAGAGGACTCAGAAAATGACTAACTTAAATGTCTACTATGCAAACAGCAGAAGTATGAGAAACAAAATGGATGAAATCAGGGCGTTGGTATGTACCGAAAAAATCGATATAATAGCATTCACCGAAACAGGGATAAACCTAGATTCACGCGAGTTACCTGTTGAATACTAAATTGCAGGTTACAAATTATTCCATACCGATAGGCAGATTAGGAAAGGACGCAGAGTAGCAATCTATGTCAAGGATAATTTGAAGTGTGAAATAAATAAGGAACATTTTATTTCATCGTACTACTGCTTCCAGAATCACCCAAAACTTGAGAATAAAGATTTCTCTTGTTGAATTAAATATCTGTTATGTGTAAAATAATGAATAAAAGATTGGAGAAATGAAAGGTTGATAAAGAGCATGTGCAGAAAAGGCCGAGAGAGAGAGAGAGAGAGAGAGAGAGAGAGAGAGCACAACCTTCCTTGTTTACATAGTCTCATCAAAGAGAGGTGATGTGTTATTATTACCAGCCCAGCCCACGTAGACTCTGCACAGTAACTCGTGAGCCACTATATCGATGAGTCATGCTTAGTCTCCGTGTGTGCCTTGAGCAGATTTCTGATTCGACAGATAACTTATCGTACACTATCAGCAAAGACGATCAAATTTGAATTACATACAGTACATAAAGAGTACTCTGTACTCATCTCAGGTAATATACTAAATGTGTATTCTGAATAAAAGATTGACAAAAATTACGCGTTTAATAACGAGTCATCCCATATAGTTTTTGTTGAGTCATATTCACCGAGGAAGCGAGAGGTATCCCAAGGTTTGTGGTGTGTGTGTGTGTGTATGTGGTGGTGGTGGCTATCCTGGGCACTACTAAACAGGGGAGTTATCTCACTCCAACAGTCACTGTGTTATGTGAGGGAAATAGTGAAGACAAGTGAGCGTATTTTGTCTCTTTTGCGCTGAACGATGGGACAAAGATTTTTCTTGTTACTGTGGTAGTTGTGCAGTCAGCGGATCACCGACATCTACCCTTCGTTTGTTTATTAAATGTAAGTAGTACCAAAGTGAGACGTAGTGAATGTCAGCGAAGAAATAAACTCTGAACTAGTGCACCACACAACTGTTGACACATCTTAGTATTATACTAGCGAGACACCAACATTTATTAGTGACTGCTAATGTAAGAACTATTTAGGACGCAGTGGATGTGAGAGAAGTAGTGCGTAATTTCTTAACCAAAGTAAATTAATTTATCAATCAATGACACTTGAGAACTAAATTGCATCTTTCCTCTGAATGATGAAGTATAATAGACTGGTGTTCCCTTTAACGTGAGTCTTAAGTTTTATTACTCTTGTAAGTATCAATATGAAAATGGTCAGTGACGTTTGTGTTAACGAGTTATCCGCCCGAGGGAATGTGTCA